TTAAATTGAAAAAACTCTTCCATACGTTCCTTCAAAGCTTTAACCTTATCCTCATAATTAAACAGATTTTCATTTATTCTCCAAGATTTCCTTTTTCTTTGTTGGCCAATCTCTATCCATACCATACTATGATCAGACAAAGTTCTGGGAAAAATTTTAGTTTTATTACAGTCAGTAAGCAAGTCAGTCGATGTCAAAATAAAGTCAATCCTTGAAAAAGACTCATGTCTATGGGAAAAAAAGGTAAAATCACGTTCATTCATATGTTGAGATCTCCAAACATCCACCAACTCCAAATCTTCCATCATTGCAAAAAAGGACTTAGGGAGCCTGGAAAGGGTCGCATCTTTAGAAGTTGTTTTTTTATCTTTTAACGTATCAAGTACCCCATTCCAGTCCCCCATAACAATCAACGAATTATAATCCATAGCCACAATTTTCTGATGTAGTTGTCTGTAAAATTGTTTTTGAGATGAAAGTTGATTAGGGGCATAAACCCCTACTATTAAACACTTTCTTCCATTTAAATTTATTTCCACAAATAAGAATCTTCCTTCTTTATCAGCTTCTTTTAAAATAGGTGAAAGGTGTCTTTTAATATATATTGCAACCCCAGCTCTTTTTTTAAGGCAGATGCAACAAACAAATCTCCAAGCTTAGAGTTCAATAATAATTTTTGATCTTTAGCCACAATATGAATCTCTTGTAAACATGTAATGTCATTATTAAAATGTCTTAAATAGTGAAAAACCTTGCGTCTTTTATGGGGAACATTAAGTCCTCCCACATTCCAAGATATAAACTTAAACATTAGTAGGTTTCAATCCACTGACTATACTTGATGCATAAGACTTGACGAAAACCTTTGGTCGAGAGCCACCTACTGGCTCAGAAGTAACAGTTGACAGACAGTCAGCTGTAGGACTATCAGCTGTAGGGCGGACTGTCAGTTGTCTTTCCTTCTCCTTGCGTCTATGGGCTGCGCGCGTCACTCTTTGTTCTTTTCCATCAGCTTTTAAACTCCCTTCTGTATCCTTAACACCGGAAGCAGAAGGGAAGTCGACATTCAATTGCTCAGCTGCATCAATCCTTTGAAATGTGGGTGGGCATTCTGCTTGCAGAACAGACGCCATGAAATCATTAGCTTTCTTAATCGAGTTAAGTCTGTAACGTTTACCAGCCACAGTTACAATTATGCCCACCGGTATATCCCATCTGAAAATTATTTGTCTGTTCTTAAGCTCCTGTGTCAGAAAAGCGTAGTCTCGACGCGCTCTAAGTATTTTCGCTGGAATTTCTTTTAAAAGAATAATGTCTTGGTTTAAAATCTTAAATCTTTGTTGGTAAAAAAGCTGCANTGCTGAAAAGTATCAGTCCATCGCCATTTTAAATTCACTTTCACTCAATCCACCTCAAGTATAGGGAAGAGCTTGTTAACCAAGTTAGAGCAAAGTCCAAGATAAAAAGCAAACTTCCAGGGTCGGTTCGTCTGCTTACAAGAAACTCACAGTTCAGTTTAAGTTGCAGCAGTGACGGCGGCTTCTAGCTTCGCCGAAGTGAAGGCGTCCTGGATCGCGGAGTAAACCTCGGGGCTCCGGAGGAGTTCTAACCTACATCGTCCACAAGGGACGACTCGGGAACTCAACTCCTACCCCGGGCAGCTCACCTATCCCCTTATGCCCAGGGGAAGGGTATCAAGCCGTTTGACAGCTGATGCTGGCTGTCAAAACGACTTTTACGCTGAAACAGGCGGGAGGCAGCAAACAGCTGCGTCCGACGAAGTCGCCTGCCACCGAAAGTCCCCATACAATGTTTGCTTCTTATTCCCAATTGCCCACAATGACAATTCAAGATGAGCATTAGTATCATGGGACTCCAACAATGTGCTCTTGCCTGGCAGCATCTGAAGGGAGCTCAGTATTTATGCCTGAACTTGACAAACCAATCATCTTTTAACCTGAACTGAGAAGGCATATTTTTAATGTTGGCCGGAAACCATCAAGGAGACTGAAAATGACCATTTTTAGGAGCAAAGGGTAAATATGGTAAGCTAAAACTGATCAGAATCTTTGAGAAGAGTGGAAATGAAAGTGTGATGTATGTAAGGAAGAGTGCCATTCATGGACATAAGCTAAGCTTTTTGGTGCAATGAACCTGCTATCTATAGGTATGGTGTAGTGGTTAAAATACAAAAAGCTCAGAGACTTTGATATGAAATTTATCTGAAGGATTGTTTATCTCCAGTTGTCTCTGCCTGTTCAGTTTGAGTAAACAAGATGGGTGCAGACTGGAGGCTATCAACTAAATAATATCATTTTGTGTGATCCAAGAAGCATGAAATTCCTGTCTGTTGGAATTATTTCTCCTCAGAAATTTGGGTGGTTCCTATCCTCATATTAATTCAGGAAAGTACTGAATATCTGGTTTTTCTCCCAGTGATTGTGGTTCCTTTTGCTTGTTTTGTTTTAGACTTGCTTTGAATACATTGTTCTTTAGTTAGCTGTAATTTATATGTTTTTATATACATATTTTCAGGGGGGTGTCCTAGTTGTAACTACCCAGAATTATTTGAGAATTGGGCAGCCCAAAAGCAAAATAAAACTAATAGTTTCCCTTTGTTCATAGAACTTTAGTGGGTGACGTTGAGCCAGATAGGACCTCTTAGTCAATCCATTCCACATAATTGTCATTGTGAGGAAAATCTGGAGGAAGGACTGCTGTCTTTGCTACCTTGAACTTCTGGACAAAAGGGAAGATGACAATGATGATGATGATGATGAAGTCACTGTCTCTTAATTTTATTGTCCAAATATTTCTATCCAGCTCTTCTGTTTTAATTATTGGGACTGGCTTATACAATTTGTCTCATCCCATGCATCTAACTGCAGTACATAAGAAGAATATGTTGCACAAATTATTCTCAAGTCACATATGTGCATTAGAAAAGCTGAATAGAAATATGTATGGATGTACTGTTGGATAGGCTGCTAATGACATTTATATAAATAAAATTGGGTTGTTGAAATATTTTGTATATACAAAATGAGTTAAGAATCAAATGCTTTCTTTTCAAGGTGAATTAAACCCAAATGCCAGACATCAAACTTTTTACTGAATGTGGAAATGGCAGCATTTAACAAGTATATAAATACAAATGCTAATTGCTATTGAAATATCATATCCATCAGAGCCATTCTATTTTGTCTTCCACTTCCCACTGAACAGTTGGATTAAAACATTCAAACTGGAAGAATAGCTGTAACATCTCAAATTTATTTATGATGGTTGCAATGCAGTGTCCCAGGGTCATCTGATCACCTTTTGTGACCTTCTGACAAGCAAAATCAATGGGAAAGCCAGATTCATCTAACTACCATGTCACAAACTTAACAACTTATAGTCCTTGACTTATGACCACAGTTGGGATCATAATTTCTGTTTCTAAGAAAGGTGGCTATTAAATGAGTTATGCCTGATTTTTACAACCTTTTTTTTTGTCCTGGTTGTTAAGCAAATCATTGCAGTTCTTAAGTGAATCAAGTGATCATTATGTGAGGGTCATAACTGTAGGGACCATTTGTAAATCACTTTTTTTAGTGCAGCTGTAACTTCGAATAGTCACTAAATGAAAGATTGTAAATTGAGGACTTCCTAGCATTCACTTTTGCAGTGGTAAAGAAATGACAATTGTTCTGAACATTCAAAAGCATGTTATTCCAGTGGTGTCCTTGATATTAACCAGTAAGCATGAATAACACACCTACAGTATAGATAAAGCTCTGAAATGAATTGTGGGAACATATACCTACTGTGCTGAGCCTTTGAAGGCTGAAGTGCAGCTGTTATCTTGACTACCCTATTTCTTGTTTAGGCAAACAGAACAAATTTTAGTAAACCTTTGTATAATATTTTCCCACCTCAGGTTAAATAATATTTCAATATATCTTCCAAATATACCATTGCTCATAGAAAAGGCATGAGTAGTATATAATATCAACAGCCGTTGAAAGAAGCAAAGATGACTACATACAAGAGCACGCTTCTGCTCACTTTGTTATATGTCAGCCAAATTTGGTATCTCAGGAATGGGTTACTTAAGAAATATATGTTGTGGAAAAAAAGAGGTAGGGTCAAGGATAACTAAATGATGAGCAATCATGAATTGCATATACAAATGAGTTATCAGTATGAAACTGATAATATCAGTGTGGGGTGGTTTGCTTATGTGGAGAGAGTATTCTGCAAAACAAATGAATGAATGGGCTGAGTAGAATTAGAAGTGGTTTGATAGGACTAGAAAAGGAAAGGAAAGAAGTTTCAAGAGCAAAGGATAATACGTGAATCAATACAATGTTATGGTCGAAATAAGGATAATATGCCTGCATGTATTTTTTATTTAAATAATTTTTATACTAGTCACAATTATAAGATCTCAAACTGATTTACAATTTGTAAAGAGGGTTCCCAAGGATGGAAAGAAAAAGAGCTACAATCAATCCTTATTTTCATTAAATTTAGCTCTATTTTCATTTTTCTTTTGGGGTCTCATGTCTTTTTTTGCATGTAGGCTACTTCTTACTTGTTTTCTGTATTTTGTACAATGTTTTTTACTCAAAACGATATGATGGTTATGTGTGTGTGAACGTAAATATTATTTATAAAGAAATCCAGGTTTTGCCAATTTATTCACTGAGAAAAGCAAAATACAGGACAAAGAGTTTATCTTTTATCATGCCAAGTTACAACAGGAAGATAGAGGGAAATTATTTATTGTGTAATACCAGACACATATTAACTGTGATTTCTTTTGACAAGAAGTTTAGAAAATATAGTTTTGTGGGAAAGCTAAGCATCTCTAACACACAGCATTACTATACTAACCTCGAATATCTCCCATCCATTGAATGTGTAGCAACAAAAGGACTCAAACCCACCCTATAAACATAGACCAAGAATTACTGAATAAATATACACCATTCATTTCCAAGCTTCACTGTTATCAACATAAAAAACTGCAACAAACTCAAATCTCTCATGCCAAGCTTTGCCAACAGTTGTCTCAATCTTGAGAAACATCTTTGGTGGAAAAACCCTTCTCAGTGAAAATGGGCACAGACTGACCTGTTGAGAGAGAAAAAAAACCCATAGTTTAAAATGCAACCTGATAATACCAAGTTTCCTCTTGTTTTATCTAGGGGAAGGGGAGAGCAATAGAATTGCTACACACAGATTTTGCATCCTGCTATCTGGATTCTTTGCCTAAAACCAAATGGCTGGGGATATGGACAGGCAAATTCATACAGATGATACAAACCTGATCAATTATTCATTGTTGAGCCAAGATGAGAGGCACTTGGGCACTGTCATAGTGGTTACTTTGCATGGGATTTGTTCTCTCACCCGTACGGACATTAAACATGGGCAAAGTGGAGAGGGGACGGGGCACCTCCCGAGTACCAGCCATCTGCCTCAGTTCCTCTGTATTGTCATGAATGGTGTGATGATGCACCATTTGGATGCTGCAGGAGAAGAAATAAATGGAACAGAACTAAATCAAATGAAATAACAGTATTGCAGTCATTAACCAGCAGAAAGAAAGAAAAAAAAATAACCAGGACACTCCAAAACAAATGAGCAAAACACAGAAAAATATGCTTCATTCTTATTAGTTAAAGCTAACCTAAAATGTAGAATTATAGAGCCCCAGACAATTTTGAGGAAGATACAGTACATTAACTGACATTTTAAAAAAGACCAGTGGATACTGTTGAAGCAAAGCTATTCCCTACTCAGGGGTAGACAACCTTGGCTCTTTTATGACTTGTGGACTTCAACTCCCAGAATTCCTGAGCCAGCCAGGAATTCTGGGAATTGAAGTCCACGAGTCATAAAAGAGCCAAGGTTGCCTACCCCTGCCCTACTCAGACAAGTTCAATTGCTCTTAATTATTCTTTGTCTAATTTTGCATGCCACCACACAGAACCTGGCAATCTTACATTATTTTAGTATTACAGGTTGTCCTCGATTTATGACACAATGGAGCCCAAAATTTCTGTTGCTAAGAGAGACAGTTGTTAAAGTGAGTTTTGCCACATTTTACAATCTTTCTTGCCACAATTGTTAAGCGAATCGCTGCAATTATTAAGTTAGTAACATAAATTAACATTGTTAAGTGAATCCGGCTTCCCCATTGACTTTGCTAGTCAGAAGGTCAGAAATGGTGATCACATGACCCCAGAACACTGTGACCGTCATAAATATAAGTCAGTTGCCAAGAGTCTTAATTTTTATCATGTGACCATGGGGATGCTGCAGTGGTTGTAAGTCTGAAAAACAGTTATGTCAGTGCCATTGTAATTTGAATGGTCACTAAACAAATGGTTATAAGTTGAGGACTACATGTAATTTCAGAAAATAAAAATTGCTTTTACTGCTAGTCATTGTATCCTGTTTTTTACTACTCAGATCTTTTTTTATCTTCCAGGTAGGAGTACTGTGTGTAACGTATTACATCAGACTAAGATAAAACCCCTTCTCTGATTGGGAGTATCAAGGTGGGCGAGTTACACGGCTGGCACCAGGATGTATCTCTGACTATCCATCATGGGAAGCTGAATAGTACTACCTGCATTTGATGGCTGCAGGTATATATTGACTTCCACTGGTATAATAAAGTCTTAGAAGAGCATCTTAAGAGGGAGGGGTCCTTAAATCAGACCAACTTGCAAAGCTTATGTATTGGAATGGATCCAAGAGTAGCCTTATAAGCTGTGTAATTGTATTTGGAAATGTTTAGTTTCTTGACTCTTTTAAAGCTTGCCCCCCCAAGTTGATTGTGATCATTTCACACTTATTCTGTGCTTGAGGGGTTCTTGGTGCTCTCTGAACTTGGTTGTTTCTCACAGATGTTTCATTACCAAAACTAGGTGACATCATCGGTGCTAGTAAAGAGTGGAGTTTGATCTCAGTTTATATTCTAGTGGTTTGCCTGGTCAGTGTTGGTGGGGATGGTCTTGAAGGTTCTTTGGTTGGGCAATTTATTGTCAGCTTGCTTGGCAGTTCCTTGATTGTGGTATTGTTTACTTCTTGATTGTTGGTCTAATGTTAATCTTGGAGTTAATCTATGTTTATCTGGGTATTGATTGATGGTTTGATCTGGGCTGCTACATCTTTTGGTTTCCTTAGGATGTTTTGAAGGGCTTGATTTAGCTTGTGTGCTATGCTGATTCCATGCGATTGTAATAGCGGGCTGGTGGCTTCTGAAACGTTCTTGATGTGTGACAGTGTTATTCTTTTTATGGTTTGGATCACATGGAATGAGTGCACACAAGCCAACTAAAGCCCTTCAAAATATTCTAAATAAATCAAAAGACCCAGCAATCTCAGAAGAAGAAGAAAGAACTCATCTACAACATACAGTATAATGACTGCAACAGGCAGAAGACTGACAGAACACATCCATGAACACCAACCAGCAGTCGGAAGACAAGATAAAAACTCTTTAATTTCACAACATATGGACAGACTTAACCATAGTTTCAACTGTGACCATCCTAGATCAAGCTATGTCCAAAAACACCAGGAAATTTCTAGAAGCCTGGCACTCTGACAAATTAGCCTCAATACACACATAGACATAAACAATATCTATATACTATGAAAAAAAAGACAACCAACAGGTCAAAAAGAGAGCAAAAAGTCCAAGACATCTCCCCATTAGCAATCAACACCCAGATGAGCATAGATTAATTCCAAGATTAACATTAGACCAACAATCAAGAAGTAAACAATACCACAATCAAGGAACTGCCAAGCAAGCTGACAATAAATTGCCCAACCAAAGAACCTTCAAGACCATCCCCACCAACACTGACCAGGCAAACCACTAGAATATAAACTGAGATCAAACCCCACTCTTTACTAGCACCGATGATGTCACCTAGTTTTGGTAATGAAACGTCTGTGAGAAACAACCAAGTTCAGAGAGCACCAAGAACCCCTCAAGCACAGAATAAGTGGGAAATGATCACAATCAACTTGAGGGGGCAAGCTTTAAAAGAGTCATAGTTTATACGGCTACTTTTGGACCCATTGCAATACATAAGCTCTGCAAGTTGGTCTGATTTCAGGGGCCTATTTAAGATGAAAAGATTCAGTTTGTTAGTTCTCTGGGCTAGGCATAAGCCTGCAAAGTTTGCTTTCAGTTCCTATATTTTCCATGCACATGGAAGAAAGTCAAATTCTAAATTAGGTTGATGAGATTATATTGTGCATAAACAGTTTCATTGCCTTGGCCAAGCCTAGAATTTAAGTCTCCCCCTACCAATATATACGCAATGGGCATGCATTAAGGACATTGTTCAAATAATATTCAATAAGCTGCTGACTGTTTTCTTCTTAAAGATAGAAAATATACCTTAACTATTACTAGAGTGCAGTATCCTAATTGAATCTCTACTGACATGGCATATTACTCAAACGGCTGAAGTTCTTGAGTTGTTATATTCAGGCTGGTGATTAACAATATACCTAGAATTCCCTATAAGTTTGTCTCTACCTTCTTCCACTACAACATTTAGAGAGTAAGCTGTATATCCATTTAATGTTAGGGCTGTTAGAACCAGGTTTCTTGCAGCAAGACGATATCAAATGTAGTTATAAAGCTTATGAAGGTAATATCTCTGCATTTGGACAACCAGTTAGCCACATTCCAACTAATTAGAGTGACTTTGTTCTGGTGGCCCTCATGTCAGTTCTCTTTATGGCTCTGAAACCGAGCCTGTGTATATGTCATAGGAGGCAGATTCTGGTTCTGATAACAACCTTTCTGATATGATATATATTCTATTTGGCGTACAGTAAACCCCAGGCCCCTCCTTGAAGTTGCATCCCTTGAGGTTCAAAGTTTTCTCTTTTCTGAATTATATATAAGCAGCAGCTGAATGTTAGGTGATCCCTTCTTCATATTTTCATGACTAGTAGCTTTGTCCAATCCTGACAGTGATAATGGGTTTATAGAACATTGATTAGGGGGGACTAAGCTACTAACAGCTTTTTCTTTTATTAAAGTAGGATCTAAGCCATGATCTAAGGAGAGAGCTAGCAGCTTCCCTTGAAATAGGTGAGATGATGATTCATCATCATCCAGCAAGTTAATGTGTGTATCAGAATCCTCATCTAGATTTGTATTGGAAGCATAAGAAATTCTGCCTTTGGAGAATATATTACTCCAGAGGCTGGATCATGATGTAGATTGAATCCACTGGAATAGTTTTCCCCTCTTGGAGTTGCCTTAAGCAGTTAGAGTGGGGAATTATCTCTTATCTGAGCTGTTATCACTTACGTCCAGCTGAGGGATAAGAAATGTCAATGGTGAAGTTTGTTGGTTTAAAATCTGGAGTATGTTCTGGAGATCTATTACTTGAACATTATGAGCCACTAGGAAAGAGGAATTCTTTCATAGTAATTCTTTCAAAGAGTAATTGCATTCTCTCTGCACTGGGATGATGGTTTCTGTGATAATTTTCCTCTGCTCTTGGCAAGAAGCTGTATCCATAATCAAATGTGGAGAATGTAGCTGAATCAGGTGTCTAAAAATTCTGGAAGGGAAAACACTATATTTTTGACAAGGGGTTTCTGCCATCCTGAACATTTTCTGTACATTACCTGGCTTATTAAAGAGAAGACAGTCTTTTAAACCCAAAAGAACTAGGTAAAAAATGATACGTGTCCAAATCTATATTTGAGATGACAGTATGGAAGCTTGCTTCGCAGATGTTTTTACTGCTTACTATTGTGCAGGATCCATAGCAAGCAAGGTATTGAAAGGGATAGGCAAAGAGCCTGGCTTTTTTGAAACACTCTATAATGCAGCAGTTGTTAAAAAATCAACTTGGGTTGATTTTTATTAACAAATTCTACATTTTTGGTTGTTGCAGCATCACTACTATCATCACTAGATATTGTCAGAACCTACATAAAGTTTATCAGGCTTGTATTGAATTTTAAAACAGCTACAACTGTAGAACCTGTGTGTAGACAAAGTTCTCCTAGTGATTATTGAGTAACTTTTCCTTTACATTCCCCCCATCTCACTTGTGTCTTGTAATTGATGGAAGGTGGGGCTACAAGGACCGTGGTGAGTTATAAAGAGGAAGCTAAACCTTTCCTCAACCCTCTTCAGAGAAGAAGCAGAGTCTTCCTTTCTTGAGGTAGTAGACTTGTTTTTAAGCAAGGGTGTACTTACAACTTGGTGAGAATTATGGGGTGGTAGGAAGGATAGAATTTCTTGTTGTTTTCCAATCTTGTCTTATTGCTTCCCCAGCTTTCTTTTATACTACCGAGTGCTATCTGGGCTGTTTCTTAGTCACTTCTTTCCTTTGGTGGTCCTTCCCAAAAATAACCTTGCAAGTAGCTTAATTCAACAAGCAGGTTCTCTTGCTCTTTAATATTCGTTGTGGTAATGTTATCTTCTAAAGTCAAAGTTAAGGCAGCTCCCTTTGCCTTCTTTTTAGTAAAA